CCGGGTATGGCTCAGAGCAGGCCTCTGGTGTGGGTACAGCAGGAGCTGTAATGGAGGTGTTGCAGCGGCAGCGGGTGTCAACAGGTGTGGCACAGCTCCATCTCAAACCGCTTGAGCACATTGTCGATGTAGAACTCCTGGAGAGTGAGATGGTGCGAGCCTTGCGATCACGAGTGATCTCCATTCCAGGTAGTGCTTGAGGTCACCAAGGTCTTTCATCTGGAGGGCCTTGCTCAGGGCTGCCTGGACAGAGGTCATTTGGGGCCGAGTCCTTGGCAACGAGGATAAAATCATCCACGTAGACTAGGATGTAGAATGGCTCAGAATGACGACGGATGAAGAGAGTCGGGTCAGCAGTTGAGGGGTGGAAGTCCAGGGAGAGGAGGACTTCTTTCACCTTGTTGTGCCATTCGCGAGGGGCTTGTTTAAGGCCGTAGACGGGGCGATTCAGCTTCCAGACTGTGTTGGGAGGGAATTCTCCTGGGAAGCCTTCTGGTCTGTCCATGAACACTGTCTCCTTGAGACGTCCTTGTAGGAAAGCGGAGGAGGCATCCATGGATTTGATCTCAAAGTCTTCTCGAGCTGCACATCCATGAGCGTTCGAATGGTGGGAGGTTTGGATGTGGGGGAGAAGATTAGGTCGAAGTCGCGGTACCGCTGCTTGGGTGAAGCCCTTGGCTACGTAACGCGCTTTGAACACCGGTGCCTCGTCTGGGAGCTGTTTTACACGGAACAACCACTTGCCCCCGACGATGTTGACTCCTGGAGGTGGAGTCTCGTCATCGAAAGAGTGGTTGCGAGTGAATGCTGCAATCTCCGCGTCCATGGCAGCACGCCATTCGGCAGCATGAGGGCCTGAGAGAGCCTCTTGGACGGTGAGAGGGATAGGGATGGTCGGGTTCTCCGCGAGGTTGAGGGAGGGTGAGCCAGTGATATCGGGGGAAGATGTGTGAGAGCTGAGGAATGACTGCATGGAGATCACACAGCTCCTCATGCCTGTCTTCTAGAAGGGTAGAGGGCACATCCCCCCCAGCAGGAGGAGGCGGTGTGATCATTGTGTATCGAAGAACCATTGCGAGTGGAAGAGCAGCGCGATGGGAGCGGGTGCCATGAGCCACCGGTGAGGAGGGCGGGGCAGGCGGTGTCGGAGAGGGTGACTTAGGAGGCTTGGGTGGGGGAATGGGCCGCCGGCGGTACGTGATCAGCTCGGGCGACTGTGGGAGAGCGGGTTCCTCTGTGGTGGGGGGAACTGGGGGAGGAGGTGGGGCCGGAGGGTGGGACCGCCGATGGTAGGTGATAGGTGCGCTCGGAGGGGGCGGCGCAGCGGGAAGTGAGGAAGGTGAGGGGGGGGGCGGAGCAGCCCGCCGAAGACACCGGTGAGGCCGGGTCAGAGACCTCAGAGGGAGATGGTGGGATGCAGGAGAGGGAGGAGGTGAGGGGGCAGGAGCAGGCGGGAGGTCGGGAGGCGCGTCAAAGTCTGCCCACACGAGGGAGGGTGGATCAGGGAGAGGGTCCCGTCCCGAAGGGGAGTAGAATGGGCGGGTCTCATCAAAGACAACGTCGCGGGCTCCTGACCAACTGTTGAGTGGAGGGATTGAGGAAGAGGTAGTCAGGTGAGTCGGCGTTGTGCCCAAGGTAGATGCACGTTTGAGTCTTGGGACCGAGCTTGCCACCGTTCTGGCGTCGAGCCTGAGGGTTGAGGGAGGACATAGGCGGTGCATCCCCAAACGCGAAGAGAGCGAGCAGTGGGCGTTTTCCCGAGCCAGAGTGTGGTTGGAGTGGTGTCGGGAAGGTGCGGATGGGGGTAAAGGTTGTAGAGGAGGGCGGCGTGGTAGAGAGCGTATCCCCAGAGAGAGTGTGGAGCGTTGGAGTGGCTGAGGAGGCACCGAGTGATCTGCACTAGAGTGTGGTTGCGGCTCTCAGCTATGCCGTTCTGTTGAGGGCTGTCAGGGAGGGTGAAGTTTTGCTGGATGCCTTCGGAGGAGCAGAAGGCTTTAAGCTTGTCGTTGCAAAATTCACCCCCCCCATCCGAGTGAAGGCGCTTGACCTTGAGGTCAAAGGTGGTCTGTGCCTGCTTGACCCACGCCATGATGACCTCTGGAGCCTCAGCCTTAGTGTGGAGGAGGTGAACAGAGACGTATCGTGAGTGGTCATCCACGATAACTAGGAAGTAGCGATATCCACCTCGTGCAAGAACAGGGGCAGGGCCCCAGACGTCCATGTGCACTAGGTCCAGTGGTGCCGCTGCGATTGTGGGTGAGGCAGTGTGGGGCTGTTGGCGCAGTTTGCTCTTGGTGCAATCAAGGCACGTGGGAGCGGGTGAGTCAGGTGGTGGAGGAAGTGTGGCTGGCAGGCCGAGAAGAAGTTTCTTGGAGGCCATGTCAGCAAGCGTGCGGAAGTTTGGGTGCCCTAACCGATGATGATAGAGGATGGTCGGGTTGGAGAGGCTGCGACATGTGCATGGTGTGATGGGAGCCTGTGCTTGGGTGGTTGAAACCTGTGGGAGAGGAACGCGTAGCGTGTAGAGGCCGCTGCTATTGAGGGTGAAGCGGGCCAAGACCTTGTTGGTGAGTGGGTCAATGATGTCGCAGTGGTCCTCATTCTCCGAGAAGATGGTGCGTAGCCCTGCTTTCTGAATTTCTGTTTGAGCCACTAGATTGTGGCGTAGTGAAGGCACGCACATGCCAGTGACGGTGCCGGAAGGGAAGGCTGGGCATGGGACTGTGGAGGTGCCCTTGGCTAGGGTGGTGAAGCTGGAGTCAGCTCCCAAGAGAGGGATAGGTGCTGGATAGGGTTTGAAGGAGAGTGTCTCCTTGAGCACAGTGTGAGTGGCCCCACTGTCGAGTGTGAACTCTATGTACTGTGGTGCCTGTGATGAGTCGATGTACTGGGAAGTGGCTTCATTAATCATGGAGTGCCAGGAAACAACAGGTTGATACGCACATCAACAGGAGCACTGTCACTAGCACTAGCCGAAGAGGGGTCCTGGACCTCAACGAGATTGGCCTTACGAGCGCGCATCCAGTTTGGCGGCTTCTTGTCAACCCCGTGGATGGCATACCACTCGTCGTCTTTCTTCTTGAAGCACGTGGCAAGGGGGTGGTTAGTGCCACCACACACTTGTCCCTTGCGGTTGCCATACTTGACGACGTAGGTGCACGGAGGAAAGCGGTTGCGCTGGAAAGGCGCCGAGGCAAGGGCTGCTGCAACACTTGCTAGGGGCATGGGAGCACGGATGGCGTATGCCTTGGCCTGAGCAGTGGAGTCTTTCTCGGCAGAGAGGAGTGCGGTGGAGACCTTAGCAAAGGTGAGGTCTTCCGCTGAGAGCGTGAGGAGCATCTTCCTCGTCACTTCATATGCCGAGGAGAGACCAACAAGAAGGGCGGCTGCAGGGGCTTGTTCGGGGAAGACTATACCCAGCTCCTTGAGTTCACCATGAATGGTCTGCACCTTGGCGATGTAATCAGCCATTCCTGAGCAGTCCTCAAGGCGGACTTGAAACATGCTGGGGATGAGAATCGCCACTCCCGACCGCCGTCTTGTTCATGAACCGATCCTGGAGATACTTCCAGATGGCGTTGGAGGTAGGGTAGTTGTGGAACGTGTTGACAAGTTCGGGAGGGGTGGAGGCAATGAAGACGCTGATGATGGCAGCATCGGCCTTCTCCCACTTCCGGTACTTCTCAACAGCTTCTTCGTACGTCATCACGTCAGCATCACTTGAAGATTCGGTCGGTTCACGGGGAAGAGTGGGCTGTTTCCCCTTGCACGGTTGAGGAGGACGTCCTTGAGGTCAAGGCCCTGCACGTCAACGGCTCAGGAGGTGCTTGTCAACTCCGTAGCTCCACGCCTTGAAGTTGGAGCTAGAGCCATCGGCTTCAAGGCGGAGCGGGGTGATGGGGTTCGCCATGGTGGAAGACGAGAAAGCCATGGTGGAGACCCCTTAACTTCTCGCGCGGAGCGCCGCTCTTAAGTCACCAATAGGAACTTGAGGTTTGGGGTTTCCAAAGGAGATTTTGAAGAACCGGAGGTTTAGGGTTTACGAAGGAGAATTTGACTGAGACGCCAATTTAGTGTCAACTACCTACTAGTCCTATTCCCACACACCCCCCCACACACCACCCTCTGCTTCGCGGCTACGCTGCTGCTCGGCTGCGTTGCTGCACCTGTTCAGCTGCGGGAAAGAGGGGGGATGGGGGTAGGAGTGCAGATGCGGGGCGACGGGCGGCAGCCCGAAGATGACGCTGCGGGGCGACGGGCGGCGGCCCGACGAGAAGCTGCAGGGCGACGGGCGGCAGCCCGTCGAGGAGAAGAAGTGACGAATTGATGAAACGAGTGTTAGGTTAGAGCGCCGACGATGCGCTTACCAGAGAAGTTTCCGTCGATGGTGACGGGAAGATTTGGCGGGAGAAATTCCGCCGATGAATGTCGCGAATCAACGGCGACGAGATTGGCGATGGCTTTCCCCGAGGTTTGCGGGACAAGTATCCGCAGAGATGAGAGGATCACGATCCGCGTATGCGGTTGAGCTGCTCTGATTACCATGTCAGAACTTGAGCTTAGAATCGATACTATAGTAGTGAGCTCAAAGCTCTTTAAGTACATCCGGAATGAGCAAGGTAGGGATGAGGAGGGAATCAGGAGGCAATCCTAGGGAATCAAGGGTAATCCCAAGGCAATCTCCAATTGGTGGGGTTGGAGATTGCTTGGAGATTACATTTGGGTTTGGTTGGGATGTGGGTGTACACCCAACCAAACACAAAGTGCAAACTACACTAAACTAGGATATAAAAGTACAAGTACAAAATGTGAGATTGGGGCCTAACACCAACAGTTGCACTAGCAGCAGCAGCAGCAGCAGCAACAGCAGAAGCAACAATAGCAGCAGCAGGAGAAGAAGCAGCGGGAGCAGAAGCAGCAGGAGGAGCAGCAGAAAGAGCAGCAGCAGGAGCAGCACTCACAGAAATATCCCGAGCACACGAGTGGCGAACTTGACAGTGTCAACGAGGCGGTGGGCCCTCGTAGAGCTGGATGGTGATCACATGCTGTGCCGTCTCCACATCTGCTGTAGGTGCGCTCGCATCGTAGCTGCTCGTGGGGGGGAGAGGAGAATAAGGAGCAGGGACACTGGGATTGGTGTTTGTGTTCCTGTCTATGGGCTGTTGGAGTGTGCTGTGCTCGCACTCGTACAGCTGAATGGTGATCACATGCAGTGCCGTCTCCACCACCTGCTGCAGATGCCCGCACTCGTAGCTGTTAGCTACAGGGTGAAGAGAGTAGGAGGAGTAAAGCCAGTTGGGAATGGCGGCCACCGGTCACACATTGCTGCCCTTGTGGGCCTCGTACGGCTGGATGGTGATCACATGCTGTGCGGTCTCCACCACCTGCTGTAGATGCGCATGCGCGCACTCGTAGCTGCTTGGTTTTGAAGAGGTGGTGAGAAGCGGGGGAAGGACGAAGCAGGGGAGCGAGGGAGGGAGGGAGGGAATGAGGGATGGATGGTGATCACGTGCTGCGCCGCCCGACCGTCTCCATCACCTGCTGTAGATGCCCGCGCTCGAAACTGCTTGGTTGTGGGGAGCTGGTGAAGAGCTTGCTCCTCCGTTTGACAGCAAGGGAGTGAGGCAGTCAGGAAGAAAGGGAGAGAGGGAGGGAGGGAAGGAGAGAGGAGGGTGGGAAGCATGGATGGTGATGACGTGCTGTACTTTAGGTGCCCGTGCTCGTAGAAGCTTGCAGGGATGAAGGGGAGGAGTAGGTCCTGCAAGAGTGGTGCCTTTGCAGGGACCTAACAGACTGCAGCGGATGCTCGTGGGAGGAGGGAGCAAGGGTAGCAGGATTGGTGCTTGCGACAGTGCAATAGTGCAACGCCATGCAAAGGGACAGATACTCGCCTGGGGAGGGGCGCAAGGGAGGGACGGAAACTTGCCTGGCGAGGGTGCAACAGTGCAACGCCATGCAAGGGAGGGACGCAATCACTTGCCTGGCAAGGGTACAGATGAGATGTTGGTGGGGCAGCAGAGGAAGGTATATTCGTGTGACTTTTGAGAATTCTCAAAAGTCACACGAATATAGTTGGGGGTCCAGCAGCAGCTTGCACAGGCGGCGACTTCTGAGGTGCCTCAAAGGTCGCCTCGTGAGTGGGGAAAGGGATGCATACACTTGCCTGGCGAGAGTGATGATGCATCAGCACCAGCGCCGCCATGCACGGGACGAATACTCGCCTGGCGAGGGTGCAGATGAGCTGCTGGCGGGGCAGTGGCGGCAGGTCCAGCAGCAGCTTGCACAGGCGGCGGTACAGCGGATGGTTCTCGGGCTCCATTAGGAAAGGGCTCTGGGGGAGAGGGAGGAGACAGATGAGGGGCAGGAGGGGCAGGAGAAGCACAAGCAACACAGATTCAACAGGAGCTTGCACAGACGGCGGTACAGCGGAATGGTTCTTGGGCTCCATTAGGAAAGGGCTCTGGGGGGAGAGGGAGGAGAGAGATGAGGGGCAGGAGGGGCAGGAGAAGCACAAGCAACACAGATTCAACAGGAGCTTGCACAGACGGCGGTACAGCGGATGGTTCTCGGGCTCCATGAGGAAAGGGATCTGGGGAGATGATGTGTGCGGGAGGAGGGGCAGGAGGGTCAGGAGGGTCGGGAGGGGCAGAGGGGCAGGAGAAGCACAAGCACACATAGTTCAAGAGGTCTGTTGAGAAACAAGCGGCGGCACAGTGGATGGTTCGCGGGCTCCATGAGGAAAGGACTCTGGGGAGATGAGTGAGAGGAGGAGAGAACTCAGATTTGAAGGAACTTGACGTGACGAAACACAGCATCCTGGCGGGCAGCAGCGCTGCGATCATCGGGGCGTGCCCTTGTCTCTGAAGCAAGCAGGGCACAGGGCATGTCGGCTGGGACCGCGTGACTCACGTCGAGCAGGAAGAGCAGCGAGCGCATGACAGCTGGCGACGGCTCATCCGAGTCTCGCCCTGCAGCCTCTTCCGCTGCAGCCGCTGCCAGCGAGTCCACCTTCCTCTTCGCACTGCCCGACGCCCCTGCCGTTGCTCCTGCCGCCGCCGCTGCTGCCTCTGCTGCTGCTGCTGCTGCTGCTGCTGCTGCTGCACCTGCCCCCACCGCTCCTGCTGCTCCTGTGTCCACATCAGCTGCTGCAACCCGTGGGGGCTTCACTGGCCGGGCTTTCGGACGACGGAGCAGCGGCAGTTGACGGCAGTGCAGGTTGCGAATCAACGTCCATGGCAGTGGTGGCGGTGGTGGCAGTGGTGGCAGTGGTGGCGGTGGTGGCAGCGGTTGCAGCAGTGGTGGCAGCAGTGGTGGTTGTGACATCATCCCTCTCACTCCCAGCCGTGGCAGAAGTCGCAGCGGTGGTAGCAGTGGCAGGTGCAGGGAGAGAGACAAGGGCAGGAGGACGGGAGGGTCGCGGGTGGGTGGGGAGGTGGTGGCCGAGAGTAGAGGAAGGCGCAGAGGGCATGGCTTGGGCGAGCTCTGTCAGCAGCCGGTCACTGGCTCGCACCACTGCTGCTACCACCTCGTCACCCTGTGGTGAGGGGGGAAAGGAGAGGGTTGAAACTTGAGTGGGCGCTGAAATGAGTGCAGAGAGAGTGGAGGAGGGAGCGGAGGGCATGGCTTGGGCGAGCTCTGTGAGCAGCCGGTCGCTCGTTCGCACCACTGCTGCTGCCACCTCGTCACCCTGTGGTGCAGAGTGAGGGTGCGTGGTGATAGAATTGGAACTGAACTGATTGATTAGGAAAGAAGGCACTAGGCCTTAAGTACAAACGAGGTTGGGATGGGCAAGGCTAGGGAAAGGATGGGATGGGAATCCTAGCAAATCTCCAATTGGTGAGTTGGCAGATTTGCAGGATTACGAGGGAATCCCAACCAGATAGGGTTGGGATCACAAACTACACCCAACCCGCAAATAACCTACGCGATATAGAATATAGTACACAAAGTGTTGACAGCCTAATTCTAACACGTGGATTGAGAGGGGGCTTGATTGACTGACTGAGGGAGCAGGATGTTAAATGGGCGAGGCTTTGGCTTGGAACGGCGTGGATATTCCTAGTAAAAGAGAGGGCGAGGCAACAAGAGAGAGCGACCCCAGCGGTGACAGGGGCGCAGCAGCACAGACAATCCGCTTGGCACAGTGCTGTGTGAATGGAACCTGTGAACCTGTGAACCTGTGAACCTGTGAACCTGTGAACATGTGAACCTGTGAACCTGTGAACCTGTTCTGTTCTACAACTCACCAGATTCGCCACTCCATCGTAGAACAACTTCACAGTCGCCGAGTCGATTCCTGATCACATGGTGTGGTGGAAACAATGAAACAGGAGGAGATGATTGCATTAGGAGACGGATGAGGCGATATGACATCAGGAGAGTTTTGAAGGATGCATTAGGTGACAATGCATCAGAAACGGGATGAGAACTGAAGGAAATAGCCCCGCCAGGGCATTTTCCTCATCCATATTCCATCCCTGCCACCCTCCTAACCCTCCACTACCTCTCGATGCCCAAAAACCCCTCCATCCACCCCTCTCATACCGCATTCCCTCGATCACCCAAAAGGTTGCCTTTGGAGAGCCCCTCCGGCATGCCCAGGAACACCAGACTCACTCAATTAAGAGTCAACTTGAAATTCCACTCAATGCCCAAAACCCCTCTCTGTAACACTCCCATGCCCCACTCAATCACTCACCCACCACACTCAACTACCACATTCCCCACTCTCCCAGTAAATTGCCTTTATGAAGACCGGCCTGGCCAGGAACACCAGGCTCACAAATTCTAGAGTCGACCAGCTCGAAACCCCTTCATCCACCCCAATCGTGCAGCGTTTCCGCAATCAGCCACACTTTACCTATCGCACTAAATTACAGCATTTCCCCACTCACCCAGCAGGTTGCCTTTGGAAAGTCCTTCCGGCATGGCGAGGAACACCAGGCTCACAGCGTCTGCTGACGACAGCACCTTGGAGATCAGCTCTGCCACGTGGCGGCTGTCCTGGGCTGCACTGCTGGCCCTCGCTGCCCTGCTGGCACGCGCCCTGGAGATTGCTGCTAGGAGCTCCGCTGGAGTGGGGTGTGGACCAACCAAGCGAAGCATGGGCAGATAATTTTTTTGGTGTTTGTTGAGACGTTAAAAGAAAAAAAAAGACGCGTCTCAAAAGTCTGCTGCCACGCGCCTTGGAGATTGCTGCTAGGAGCTCCGCTGGAATGGGCGGGGGGGTCACTCAAGCCAAGAATGAGGGCGGAGGATGAAGGGCACGCATGAGTGGGTATGTCATGCCATGTCAGCAGCAAGAGGATTGTGAATTGAAGGAGATTTGAGGTCAATGTGTGAGGACATGAGCTTCGTCCATGGCTTCATTCGGACATCAGCTTCGTCCATGGCTTCATTCGGACATGAGCTTCGTCCATGGCTTCATTCGGACATGGGCTTCGTCCATGGCTTCATTCGGACACGAGCTTCGTCCATGGCTTCATTCGGACATGAGCTTCGTCCATGGCTTCATTCGGACATGAGCTTCGTCCATGGCTTCATTCGGACATGAGCTTCGTCCATGGCTTCATTCGGACATGAGCTTCGTCCATGGCTTCATTCGGACATGAGCTTCGCCCATGGCTTCATTCGGACATGAGCTTCGTCCATGGCTTCATTCGGACATGAGCTTCGCCCATGGCTTCATTCGGACATGAGCTTCGTCCATGGCTTCATTCGGACATGAGCTTCGTCCATGGCTTCATTCGGACATGAGCTTCGTCCATGGCTTCATTCGGACATGAGCTTCGTCCATGGCTTCATTCAGTGTGTGGAGATTTCAAATGTACTGAACCTAATGGGGAAATCAAGAAAGTGGGGATGCGCAGGCAATAAAACGAAGAAAAGGAGAAGAAGAAAATGATGTCGCAAAAAAAAAAAAGACAAAAAAAAAGGTAGCCGACAGAAGATTTGTCAGGTTGAATTTAAGAGTTCTCGCACCACCCTAGACTGTAAGGGTTTTATATATTTTCAATAACACCCTAGCGCTTCTAAATAACAAGGAGGTGCCAGCAATAGTTATCGCGGGCAAAACAGCCCATGCGAGCAGGGAAGGTAGGGTGTGCACAAGGAAGAAGAATGAAAGGGAAAAGGAGGGACTGTACCCCGTAAAAGGGGAGGAGCGTGCATGTGTACAAACCTTTTCCCATGGCGATCTTCAGATAAAATAAAAAGAGAGGAGTACACAAAGCATCCATAGCACAATAAAGGAGAAGCATGCATGTGCACCAACCTTTCCCCATGGCAATCTTCAGAGCAAGCGCTGCAGCGTCGTTGGGAGCGAAGCCTAGCTGATGGAGGCTCTCGAAATTGCTGCAAGGACCAAGTGAGAAGCACAAAATTGACACCAAATGTAGAGCTGCAACTGTAGCACCAGATAAGGAGCTAGAGCTGTATCGCTGCAATTGTTACACTTGAGATGAGGTACAGCTGCAACACCACAACTGCGATTGTCATATTATTTATTATGATTTCCGTGACTTTTCGCGGTCTGCTCTCGTCAGAATTCATTTATACCATGTCTCAAACAAGAACCCCTTACTTTTTCACCGTGAGCGCGAAGCTCTCCTTTGCCGTTCCGCCTTCAGCGGCCCCTGCCGTTGTGAGTGAGGATTCATGATACTCGTCCCCCATGGACCCACCACTTGCCGTCACGGATGAAGAATGACAAGAAGCTCAGATACGTATGAAATGGCAGAATTCAACGTAGAGGCACGCTATGTTCCACTATTCCGAAGCTGATTTGTGGTGGGTCTAAGTGGTGACGCTGTTTCTCTTCGGCTAATAATTGCTAATGGAGAGCATGTGGTAAGAGCAACTAGGAGAAAACGCAGCAACGTGAAACGCGCTGAAAGAGACGTAAATTTGAAGTGGTAATAAACGTTACTTGTGGAGTGTGGTGTCTAGAAGAAAAGGTTTAGTGTGCTAGATTTAAGATTTTCAGATTTGGTTGGTGTACAGTCGTTGACTCTTTTCAATAGTTTCAACAGGTAGGGTTCAATATCTCAGCCAAAGGTTCTGCGACGTTTGCGAACGATACGAACGCTTGCGGAGCTGTTTCGGAACGACGTTGCCTCTGGTAACCACATCGCGAGAGCACAGTGCAACACAGTGCAAAAAGACCGTAATCAGGGCGCGTGCGATCTATTTTCAAGTTACGAAAAATAAGTGGAAGTTTGTGTGGTTACCAGCTTCGCCATTGTCGTCAAGACGCTTTAGCGAAGGCACGAGAATTTTGGGGGCACATAAGTGCGAATGTCATATGTGAACTCAACTCGAATCACACGGGTGAACGTGCGGGTGCACGTGAGGCGAGTGTGTGTTGTTTCAGCACGTACGAAGGCCATCTGAAAATCACGAATGCTTTGCGAAGATCGCGGAGTTTGTCGCACACTAAGTTGACGTGTCGTGCTGTACCAGGTAACCCATACCCCCTACGGGCGGCTCGCCGCCTTCCCTAAAAGGTCGAATCTCTGTGTTCGACCTTGGGTGTGTGATTGTGACTCGTCTGTGTTGGAGACCCAAGATTCGAACTTCGCTGCAAGGAAAGTCGAGTTTTGTTCAAATGCTACATTCGATCTAAAAACATCAACTTTCACAGATTTGTAAGACCACACGCGCCCTTACCCAAACCCAATTCCCACCGACCGACCTTCTGACATCCAAACATCCGTCAGTTTTGAAAGCCCGCGCAAATGAGCGGTCAAGATTGCACCGTCCTTCAGTGGCTTCGAGAAGCCTCACAGGTTGGCGCCAGTCAGGTCGGGTCCACCTGTTTCGCCAGTCGACCTGAAAGGAATTTGATCCTCTGAGAGAGGATGAAAATGAAAGTGCAGCAGTGCTACTTGATTTCTCAGTTTGAATCTGAGTCTGAGAAACCTTTCAGGAAGTAGCAAGTATGGCGTCACGTCTGCTATCTGGCGTCGCCCTGCTAATTTTTTACGCGCTTTGCGGTGAGTTCCACCTTGTTCTATGTGCTGTCTGGTTTTCTTTCTTCTCTCCTTTTTTCCCTTCTTTTTTTAGGCCAGTCACCACCATCACGGGTTGTTTTGTGCAGTGGCGGCGAAGACTGAGAAGGATGTCACCCAGCTTCAGATCGGCGTCAAGGTAAACCAAAGGCTCTTTACCGGCACATGTTACGCACATTATATCGCATATTCCCTAATCACGTGCAACTTTCACCGTTCGCAGCCTGCACTACTTGATTGCACTACTTAATCATGTTTCACCATTGATCCGTGGGGTGTTTCCTGGTGGGTGATGGCAGTTCAAGCCCAAGGACTGTCCGCGCAAGGCTAAGAACCTCGATACTGTCAAGGTTCACTACAAGGTGAGCGTCTGTTTCGTCCACGCAGAAATCTAGGGCCGTGCATTGCGGGTCGCACATCAACTCACACGGTTCCGTCGCGTTTCTTTGAACAGCCAATTAAGAGTAGAAAGCAAGGATTGGGAAGGAACGTAGTGAGATATTACTGGCGATAATTCAGTGGTGCCGATTGTACGGCGAATCAGGTCGTCGTCGAATACCTGTTGCAGCGATACCTACTGTTTTCGGACTTCAACTGACGAAGAGGTCTGGTAGGACTAAACGACTGACACCTGAAGCTCGACTAGACGGACTGACACTTATAACATAATTAAGGGGCTGACGCTTGAAGCACGGTCAGGCAAACTGACGCTTACAGCACGACAAGACGGATTGACGTGGCTTGGACCTTGGTAGAACGGGTGATGACGGAAGCGAATTTCGGTCCTCCAATGCGATTCGTGTCCTGTGGCGGAGTAAGTCAGAGTCGCGCCTGTTGCGTCAGACTCGTTCGTTGATCCTAGTAGTACGTGGTCCACTTTCGTTTTTTTCCAGAAATCCCTAAAAACAAGTCTTCGCGGATCAAGTCAGACATTGCTCTCCAGCAGTCGGCGAAGCATAGAAAAAGCACGGTTATCGTTAGCACGCAACGCTTGCGATGGGTGGAGAGCATAGAGCAGTGCAGTCTTGTATACCCTCCAAGTAACCGTTGCGTTGTATTCGCAGTTGCCTTTCCGAATGCACACGGAAGAACTTCCAGATAGTCTACATGTCGATCTGTCCTAACTCTGACGTGTCCTAATCCTGACGTGTCCTGACGTGTCGAACCCTGTCGCTCACGTTGCGCGTGCAGGGCATGCTCACGGATGGCACTAAATTCGACTCCAGCTACGACCGCAACGACCCCTTCGAGTTCCGCCTTGGCATGGGCAACGTGATCAAAGGTGAGAGACAGAAGTGCGATCGCTGGCTGTCAAGCAATGCGATAACTAGGTAAGTTCACGAAAGTCGGTCGAGCTTGAGGCGGGTCTTAACTCCTACAAAAAGCCTTGTAGTGAAAGAAAACCAAACAAGGCGATACCTTTGGAGGCAAGTTGCGCCGGTTTCGTTACACCCTTGTCTGGAAGTATGGTTGCGTTCCTTATTCATGTCCAACCGCTATGGCACGAACATTCCTCTGAACGTCCCCCTGACCGTCCCTCTCTCACGTGACAGGGTGGGACATTGGCATCCTCGGCATGTGCATTGGCGAGAAGCGCAAGCTCAAAATCCCGCCCCACATGGGCTATGGCGAGAACGGCTCTCCTCCTAAGATTCCAGGTGAGTGCTTAAGTCATTCGTGTTTGCCCCGGTTTATCTATACAGGATGTTTGATTTTTGGTGTTTCCACTCGTTGGGTGCAATCTTTTGACGCATACACCAGACAATCGAACTATTGAGAGAGTTAATAAAGACTGGGCATTTCAAAGCTATCACGGCTTCTCTTGCTTGCATCCCTCTACCCTCCATCCTCCTTCCCCCTGTTCCCCCAAACCCTTCTTTCCCTGCAATTTGACTTGCACCATACTCCTCCATCACTCTAAACTGCTGCGAGGTGGCGCAACACTTGAAATGGAGCTGGTTTATGTCATGCATGTGGCGGAGGAGGAGCTGGGCGTCAACCACTCACCTCTCTTCCCCTCCCTCCCCCAACTCCCGCCCTTCCCTCCCTCCCTCCCTCCCTCCCTCCCTCCCTCCCTCCCTCCCTCCCTCCCTCCCTCCCTCCCTCCCTCCCTCCCTCCCTCCCTCCCTCCCTCCCTCCTCCCTCCGTCCCTCCCTCCGTCCCTCCCTCCCTCCCTCCCTCTCTCCTTCCCTCCCTACCTCCCTTCCTCCTTCCTTCCCTCCTTTTCCTCCCTCCTCCGTGCCTGCAGGTGGAGCGACACTCATCTTTGAGACGGAGCTGGTGGACATAGTGGATGTGCCGGACGAGGAGGAGCCGGAGGATGAGGACTTCAATGATGAGGACATTGACGACACGGACCCCCAGGGGGAGGAGGATGATGATGACGAGGACTTCGATGAAGATGATGAGTTTTACAAGAGAGATGATGATCGCGAGTTGTGAGAAGTGTAATTTTAGGTGAATTTCAAAGTTCTTTTGAGGAGTTTACGGAGATACCGTAGTGCTCTGGAATCGGATTGTGCTGCTTCTTACAGGCTGGTAAACTGATTCAACTAGTAGAGCGGAGCTATTGCTGCATTACGAATGTAAGGCATTGTTCCATGGCAGAATAATCATTTTCCGGGATATGAGCAGAATTTCAATATCAGACAGGCATGGCACACTGATCTGCCAAGCAAGGTGCATCAAACTAGAAGTACCCTAGTGTGTGAGGATGCTCAAGCAACACTTGCCAGTGAGGTGAGGGGGAGCAAAATTCATTTATTGGAGTGACCAGGCATTTGATTTGTATGCATGTGACAAATACGGTAAGTCATGAATAATGGTGAGCATTGAGCAGTCACATGTTATGCCAACACAAGGCCCAGGTTTCTGCTTTGATGGCAGATGCATGGGGACTCTTTAACACCTTCCGTCACTATGCCTGTCTCATTACTCTCAGACGCTTTCCACAACACCGGAATTTGCTTCTTCATTTCATGAATGTTTGCTATAACATAATCTGCTCCTGCTGATGATTGTGATGTTCCTACCTGCATGGAATGAAAACCATATGCAGGCAGACGTCAAGGAATCATTAAGCAGGGACGACGAGACATTCTTTAGTAGGGTGACAGCACCAGTCAAGGAAGCATCAGGGGAGCGAAGATGAGAATGGGTACGGTAGTAGTACTAAAATGCACTGGCAAAAAGGGTTCAAGCTTGTGAGAAGGGTTCAGCCCAGCAGGACATACCAGAACTGTATGCATGCCAAATCTCTTGGCCGCTGAGATGTTGCGGGTGCTGTCATCAAAGAATATCTGCAGCACAAGACACGGAATAGTTATATGGGATCAGTCAGGACAGTTAGAGTGCAATGGGTCGTTTGGAAAGCAACATGTCTTGTTAGGTGGTGCCACACAGTATTGGCATCGCCATAAACACAGCCAGACAGCCAAGGTAGATTCTGAAACTTACCTTTCTTTTGGGCTTACTTCGCTGCGACCAAAAGAAAGGAAGATTTTGCCAGTGCTAATGGTCAGATGTCAGTGGCGAAGCGAGCAAGGCACAAGAACCAGCGTACTCACGAATGAGTTCCGAGTCAGCATCAGCCGCATAGTGAAGGCGCAAGAGGGATTTCACACAAGCAGCACGCCGTGCAGAGAGCGGGAATTCAGAGAGGATGGGAGCAGCGGGGACATACCGATGAGTGCGGGTCAGCGCGTGCGATGCCAACCACTGCGCGGTGAAACGCCTCAGCCTGGGGCTTGCAGCAGATGAGTGGTCCGGCCGGACTCATCCACGACTGCGCCACTGCAGATGCTGCAGCAGCTGCTGCTGCTGGTGTTGGTTGTGGTGGCGCTGCTGCTGCTGCTGCTGCTGGAGAAGCTGCTGCTAGCCTGGCGGCGTCACGATGAGTGAGTGCAGTAAGAGGGTGTGCAGAGGCATGCTCCACCAGTGCATCTGCACTGACGCAGCGGCGACTGTTGCAGCGGAAAGGTAGCACCTGGGGGAGGTTCACCTGTTTTGATTCCTGCTGCTCTAAACCCCGCTGCTGCTGCTGCTGCTGCTGCTGCTCACTTGGTCCTTCTTGCTGATCCTGGATACTGATTGGTAGCAATCGCTCTGGAGAGCTGCTGCCACTGCTGCCATTACTGCAATCGCTCGACAAGTTAGCCGAGGGCAGGGAGGCAGTGGAGGAGGCAGAGGGAATGGGAGGCAGGGAGGACGGCAGCAGACCATGGTCGGAGTCCAGAAGATAGTCAGAACCGTCAGATCCATCCGAGCCATTAGGGAAGTCAGGACCGTGAGTGGTGTCAGAGGTGCACGAGGGGCGGAAGTTGTTTCGGAGGTTGAAGTTCTGGGAGGGTTGCTGTGCCATGACTTCTTCAAATGAAATCACAGCATCAAAGCAGCCCTCCAGGCCCAGCAGACGCAGGCAGTGGCTAGCGTGCATGCGATCAGCGTTGGTGAACACCTGTGAGTGGGGATATGGGCGGACGGAGGTGGAAGGGTGGAGGAGGGGAGTTGCGGAAAAAAGAATGGGTGAAAGGACGTGATAGCGAATGGGCTGGGACAGCCCTCCACACTGAGCAGAGGCATGTGGTGAGCAGCGGCATGTGGTGAGCAGCGGCATGTGGTGAGCAGCGGCATGTGGTGAGGCAGCGGCACGTGGTGAGCAGCGGCACGTGGTGAGCAGCGGCATGTGGTGAGCCATGTGGTGAGCAGCGGCATGTGGTGAGCAGCGGCATGTGGTGAGCAAGTGCACGTGCTATAAAGCTGCTTATTCAGGATACCAATACAGATAGGCATGGTGAGTGGCGTGCAGCCACTGCATTCACTGATGTAAGAGGGCAATCAGAGACCGGAGTCCATGCCATTGCTCCTGCAAGCCCACCGTGAACTACGCATGCTTCGTCTGATCCGATGCTGGTAAACTGAGGGACTTACGAATTTGCGTTGAGGAAGCGAATCAGGAGGTGCCTCAAGGCGGGGTCTGGCTTCAGCAGGTGGTATGGCAGTCGGCCGTGGACGAACCTGCAGGGAATGAGGAAGGCGGGGTGACGAGGAAGACGGGGTGACGAGGAAGACGGGGTGACGAGGAAGACGGGGTGACGAGGAAGACGGGGGTGACGAGGGAAGAACGGGGTGACGAGGAGAACGGGGTGACGAGGAAGACGGGGTGACGAGGAAGACGGGAAGACGGGGTGACGAGGAAGACGGGGTGACGAGGAAGACGGGGTACGAGGAAGACGGGTGACGAGGAAGACGGGGGTGACGAGGAAGACGGGGGTTGACGAGGAAGACGGGGTGACGAGGAAGACGGGGTGACGAGGAAGACGGGGTGGACGAGGAAGGCGGGGTGACGAGGAAGACGGGGTGACGAGGAAGGCGGGGTGACGAGGAAGACGGGGAGATGAGGAAGGCGGGGAGATGAGGACGTGGGAGGGGATGAGGACGGGGGGGGGAGATGAGGACGGGGGGGGAGATGAGGAACGGGGGGGAATGAGGACGGGGGGGAGATGAGGACGGGGGGGGAGATGAGGACGGGGGGGGGAGATGAAGACGGGGGGGGGAGATGAGGACGGGGGGGGAGATGAGGACGGGGGGGGGAGATGACGGACGGGGGGGAGATGAGGACGGGGGGGGAGATGAGGACGGGGGGGGGAGATGAGGACGGGGGGGGAGATGAGGACGGGGGGGGAGATGAGGACGGGGGGGGGAGATGAGGGACGGGGGGGGAGATGAGGACGAGGGGGGGGAGATGAGGACGGGGGGGGGAGATGAGGAACGCGAATGAGGAAGGCGATGGTGCAAACTCACAGTCGCAAACGCATAAGGACCGCATGAGAATGGGAGGTGGAATGAGTTTAGACACGAAACAGAGCGCAAACACGAGCTCCTGATTGCAGATGGAAGAAAAGGGAACCAAAAGGCTCCTGGATGGATATGGCATCTTGAACGAATGTGACCTGCAGTAACTTGGTGGTACTAGTGCTTCTAGAAGCAAAGGAGGTTTGAACTCACGCGTGCCAGTCATCAAAGTCGAAGGCGTAACCTTCTGCCTGCAACACAAATTTCAAACGAGAATGTCAGCTCGGCACAGTCCATTGCAGCCCACGTGGATAGCATACTGATTCAGACCATCAGTGCTTATTGATTAGTGGTCAAAATCAGCTGGAGTCACCTATTGCAAGGGTATCGCACCATCTAAACGTGCAATCGCCTGTAACACCATGGTGACAGCGTCACATCATATGTCTATGTTCCCTCAACGTATAAATATTTGGCACAACAATATCCCTCCATCTTTGTTACTGAAGCATTACTTCAAGAATACGTAACTTGCTGCTTGCCACACTGCTGACACAGCCTACCTCTGAGCAGCCCCCACTAACAGCTGTGTGCCTAAGCGCATGTGCCAGACTTTGGACTAATACTTGCTGGCGACAGATCTTACGCCCATCGATCCTGCGACCTATAAAAGTTGGGACTTACCCGGAGACCAGCCATGGAGGTGCCATGCTCCTTATACAGCCTGATGGCCTCCTCGCCTGCGGTGTCTGCTGCGAAACCCAGGCGTTGAACCATGTAATCTGAGACGGGAAGAAAGGCGGAATAGAGAGAGGGGGCGGAGAGGGAATGCTGGCGAATCAATGTGATAACCAAATGGCTTCACTAGCTTTCGAAGATGAGCCAGGACCCAAAACAATGCGCAAGAGGATATCTGCTTCGGATACTTGCAGGATGTGGATTTGGTATATCGGGCAAAATGACAAATTCGTAAGCTGGGAGCGATTTCGTCAATAATCATACCTTCGATGTTCTTCACACACGCTGGGCCGAGACCAGCGCTACTGGGATACAGAGTGTCATCCAAATCTGCAGCACAGATTGAAAACACGTCGATTCACACGTTGGCAATGCACAATCGCCAACACTTGTAACATGAACGAACTCCTTGAAGGAGTTGTTGCCCGACGATGGGGCCACAATGGTTGGGTGGTACGGGAATTACTACAAGAATGCGATGCTTCATCGAGAAGCAGGTTTATTAGTAAGTATCCCTACGCAGATGCTGAACGGCTACGGCTTACCGAAGAAACAAGTTGTGATAGACGCGGAAAATTCGCGGGTTGGTTCCGACTGAGTAACCACAGTCGCTTCAGAGTCTTCTTCTAGTGTGAACAGTGGCGAGATGACACCATTCCTGCAGTAATATGGAAGTCAAACATGAAAGCTGGTCAGAGAAATCCGTAACAGTGGCGAGATGACACCATTCATGTTTCTGAACTGAATCAACGCAAAAGCGGAACAACGATTTCAACTACATTCAGCCTAACGACGTGTCATATGAATATGCATCCGTAACTATTCACTATTGTTCAAGCGGGTTACGCTAAGGCGTGCCAGGCAGCGTCTTCACAGGCAAACAGAAACAACATGGAGGAGGACGTACCCTGTTGTTGGCGCCATTGTGATGCAGCTCCTGGAAACTAAGGCTAGAGCCAGCCACTACAACGATAACTACCGGGAACTAAACGAAAAAAACACGGTGGAAGGCGAGTTTGACGCAAGCTGTGTGTGCGAGCAATACAAGGCCTGGACGAGCGCTAGAGCAGGAAGGATTACAGTATGTGGGAAAAAGGTATTTGTGATGAAATGGTGGATTATGTACTTGGCATGGATACAGCAGACCCAAAACAGTTTGCGGCAATTTCGAGACTACGAGGTGGGTTAAGGTTAAGGTTATATAAAGGTCGTAACCATGTACAGCAAAGCATAGAGCAGCTAGAGATATGGTCTACACAAACCAAGCGCCCAAAGGCGTACGTAGGAAACACGTTTCGAGACTACGAGGTGGGTGGGTCTGCTTCTGGGATGTGTTCTGTTCTGCTGGACAGAAGGTGTTGTGTTGTGCCGAGGCCCGTATTTGGTTGTCACTCATTGATTTCCACTAGGTTGATATGGAATCTAAAGGGATTGGACGGTGTACAAGAACAGTTTCATGAGGCATGGGATGGTTGGGTTCGAGATGGTGATTTGGGAAAATATCGAGGGCGGAAAAACCTCTGGCGGGAATTTCCGAGGCTGGTGGGCTGCGATATGGCGACGCGATAAGCTGTGGCTCTGTGTGGGGTGGAAATCTTCTAGAGCGATTACTTGTCCGACGTGGCGAGGGTCGGCCGACCACACAGATACACTCACGGGGCTGACTCTCAGGGACCTTCAGGGTTTCCTCTTGTGGTGGCGCTTCTTCCTGACCTCATAGCCAGCGTTGGTGGCGTCAGCGTTGACGCGCACAGAGGAACTGGCTTGAAAGGAAACACCACCAACCGCCACCGAATTGTGAGAAATGGGTGAATTACACCAGTAGAGCACAAAACACTTTAAACCTAATGTACAGATATATCAATAATCGTGGGGCCTTTCTGCGTAGCGTTATACCGCGGATAATGAGCATGAAACGTGGAGTCATCTTGACAGCACAATCCATGGCCCCTGGCACGACCACGTGTTCGTTATCTCGAGCTGAGCACTCCATAAAATGACTCGCTCACTGGAAAGAGGGCGCCGAAACGCGCACCTTCTGATGCAGACAATCTTGCGATGAGGCGAGTTTAATTGCGATCATTTTGCAGCTCCAAGCTACCGGCGCGCGTACGGGAACCTATAGAACTGTGCTTGCAGCACTGCCAGCCATGGCCTGTAGAATCGTATCATTCGCGGCATCTCGTGTTTCCACTGGAGTTCCGTTAATCAGCTCCTTCAAGTTGGTTCATCGGCGTCCACCGTCTCCTTTGGCCGAGTCGCTCGCGTGCCGTTACTAACTCCCGAAATAGCCGCCGGCGTTGGTACTATCTCGTCGGTATCTTCCATTTTTTCGCGGTCCGCCGCTTCAGGAGACTCCGTTACTTGGAGCCCAGTTGATGCGACGAGAGTACCCAGGCTGCGTGGTGTTCGATGTCGATCGCTTGCGACGGTTCGCGACGGCAGTGCGACAGCTAGGGAGGTGTCGCTCGTGCAAGGGGCGTCGCGAGGCATCGGGCTGGAGCTGGTCCGTGCCTCCGATCCCTCTCTGCCTGTTTTCCTGCTGCGTTCCTCTCTGCTGGTTTCCGGTTTGCTGATTTTCTCTCTGCTGGATTTGTCATGCTGCTTCTTTATTTTCTACACTTTTGTGGTACAATGTAACTTTTTTCCCTCCTCCTCTCTCCCCCTTCCTCTTTCCCCCTCCTCCCCCATCCTCCTCTCCCCCCCCCTCCCCCCCCGCCCCCCCATCATCCCTCCCCCACACCTCCACCCAAAATTGTGAAGGGCGTGTATCTTCTTGGTATATTCCTTGCATGACCAGCATTGAAACCTTTGACAACCAAAGGGTCATATCGTTTTGAACAGCTGAGAGAGTTCGCCTTTCCCTCAGATTGCCAGGCTGGGAGAAATTCCCTAAGGGGCAGTTCGGTCGAAGCACAAGAGGCTCCTCTGACATGGACGATGGTGGCTCATTTATGATTCATCGACCTTTGACCGCTGATTGGCAGGTTCGGCAGCTGCTCCAGAGGAACCCTGACAGCCACGTCATCGCCACGTGTCGCAATCCTGCAGCAGCAGCGGCGCTACAGGAGCTCCAGAGTAGCAGCGGGGATCGGATGACCGTTCTTCCCCTGGACGTTACTGATGAGGCAACCATCGAGGTGGGTGATGGACGAGGCGTGTATCGAGGTGCGTGGGATGCGAGGTGCAGTTTAGAGCCGACTCAAAAGTCAAGTGAGGATCGGCTGACCGTTCTCTCCCTGGATGAGGCCTCTATCGAGGTGGGTGATGGAGAGGCGTGTGTTGAGTTGGTGAGAGGTGAGGCGTGTGTTGGGGTGGGTTAGAGACGCGGTGTCTCTAGGGAAGGGTGAGAGACGAGGCGTCTTTAGGGGGGATTGACGCGGTGCAAGAGTTGTTTCTCTCGGGCTACACTACACTTACACCGCTGTTGTATCGCGGTCTAATCCAAATATGGAATTCCAATGTATATAATTGGCATGGCGGGTACATGGCACGGTGCATGGTGTATGGTGTTCATGTCTCGTAAAAGCCATGATGGCATGCACGCTTGCATGGGATGGCGTGCATGGGATGGGATGGCGTGCATGGGATGGCATGCATGGGATGGCGTGCATGGGATGGCATGCATGGGATGCGTGTTTTCATGGGATGGGATGGCATGCATGGGATGGCTTGCATGGGATGGCATGCATGGGATGGCATGCATGGGATGGCATGCATGGGAGGGCATGCATGGGATAGCGTGCATGGGATGGCATGCATGGGATGGCATGCATGGGATGGCGTGCATGGGATGGCATGCATGGGATGGCATGCATGGGATGGGATGCATGGGATGGCATGCATGGGATGGCATGCATGGGATGGCATGCATGGGATGCGCGTTTGCATGGGATGGCGCAGGGGCGTCACAACAGGAAGCTGCACGGCATGTGTCAGCCACTTGGGGGCACCTCAACCTCCTCATCAACGCATCAGGCCTCCTCCACATGCCGGGCGCCATGAGACCAGGTGCGCGGTGAGGTACATCTTGCATTGCACTGCACATGTGAAGCTGTCTTGTGTTGCTTGCTGCAATGAGCTTCTGCATGCATGGGCTGTGTATGGTACTACTGGGAGCTGTGTGTGGTGCGAGTGGGCTGTGTGTGGTTCGTGTGCTGACAAGCTGTGCCCTCTCTTCACCCTGATTGTCATTTTTCCGCAACTTCTCACTTTCCATCCATTTCTTCCTACTCGCTGATTCTTCCCATTCTCTAATTCTTCCCACTCGCTTATAATTTCCACTGCGTCCCTCTCTTCGAGCTATCGTGCCACCAGCTCTGCCCAAGCGTCCCACTGTGCCCTTGGTTGATTGAAGGCCATGCACGCTTTCAACCCTTCCCCTATGCACCCGTGTCCCCAATCCGCCCACCCTCTCCGCTTCCATGTGCATGCAGAGACATCTATGAAAGCACTCACGCCACAGGCCTTGCTCACCAGCTTCCAGGTCAACGCAATGGGACCGGCGCTGGTCATCAAGGTGTGTGTGAGAGCATTTAGAGTAACCAGCTACGGGGCGAGCACTGGTAATTATGGTGCGCATGCATCGTGAATAACATAGGATAGGTAGGCCCTGTGCCTGCAATTCAAATTCAAAAGCCGTAAGAGTACTAAAGTCTTGAACAAGCTACTCCCCAGTTTGCATGCCATGAGAGTTTAATCGACATACAATAAATTGTCTGTACGGAGGAGTATTTTTGCGAGGAATGTTCTTACAATGAAGCGGGCGGGACTGATCGTGAAGGTGCTTATGGGGTGGTTTTGAAATACTCTACGCCTTGTGGTTTGGGCAATTCACTAAATGACTTTTGAGTCGACTCAAAAGGCATCTCACGCCATGTGGTGTGGGTACTTTACTGAATGGTTGGGCGGCCGAGTCCCAGAAAGTCAGCTCTGGTCGGTAGAGCATGGTTGGTTGTATTAAAGTAAAGTGTGTGTCTGAAGGGAAAGGGGAGCGGAACGATAGAAGGAGAGAGTGGGAGATGAATCAGGAGAGGATTACATGGTACGGGAGATAGGGGTACACCGTACATGCAGCTTGGTACGGGAGATAGGGGTACACCGTACATGCAGCTTGGTACGGGAGATAGGGGTACACCGTACATGCAGCTTGGTACGGGAGATGGGGGTACACCGTACAGGTAGCACGTTCGTCTATCCGGTGTTTCCTGTCCCTTTCTTTCCCCCCATTTTGTTCTCTTACCACTGTCATTGGCCTTTGTTGTCACCTCAGCATCCGTCCATGGCACATCTTCCCCGAACCTTCTCCCATGGCACCCTTTGTCCCCATTCTCTCCACTGTCTCCCTGCTCTGCTGATTGCACAGACGATGGCACAGCTGCTTGTCTAGGCGCCTAAGATCCCCTTTTCATTCTCCCCCTGCGCTGCTAATTGCACAGAAGATGGCGCCGTTGCTTGTCTAGGCGCCGCATATCCCCTTTTCACTCTGCTCCTACTGTGCTGTATGAGAATGAGAATCACACTTGAGAATTCTCGAAAGTGATTTTCATGTAGCTGATTGCACAGAAGATGGCGCGGTTGCTTGTGTAGTCCCCTCATCATAACCCCTCATCATAACCCCTCATCATAACCCCTCTTCACTCATCATAACCCCTCTTCACTCTGTCCCTACTGTGCAACGGCACAGAACATGGCGCCATTGCTGGCAGTGGGAGGAGGCGCAGCGGCAGGGAGGGAGGTGGCAGTGGCAGCGAGCATGAGCGCACGGGTGTCCTCGATAGGCGATAACCGGCTGGGTGGGTGGCATTCCTACCGCGCTTCAAAGACTGCTCTCAACCAGCGTGAGTTGTCCAGGTGTGGGGTTGGCAGTGGCAGCGAGCATGAGCACACGGGTGTCCTCGATAGGTGACAACAGGCTGGGGGGTTGGCACTTGTACCGCGCGTCAAAGACTGCACTGAACCAGCGTGAGTTGTCTGGGCGCGGTATGGGTCGACTCATGGCACACCACTGGCAGGCACGCACGTGGCAGTGGCAGCGAGCATCACTGCCCGGGTTTCCTCGATTGGCGATAGGGGGGAGTAGTGGCATCAAAGACGGCACTGAACCAGCGTGAGTTCTCTGGGTGTCTATTCCGAGATAACTTGAGGTACGGCAGCTGGGAACGAGGTGGCCGTGGCAGCGAGTTAGTACGAGCGTGCTGGTCTCCCCGATAGGCTCGATGGGCGACACAACATGCTGGCCGGGTGGCACTTGCACCGCGCCTCACAGGCTGCCTTTTGAGGCGCCTCAACACTCGTCACTTGCACCGCACCTCACAGGCTGCCTTATGAGGCGCCTCAACACTCGGCACTTGCACCGCGCCTCACAGGCTGCCTTTTGAGGCGCCTCAACACTCGTCACTTGCACCGCACCTCACAGGCTGCCTTTTGAGGCGCCTCAACACTCGGCACTTGCACCGCGCCTCACAGGCTGCCTTTTGAGGCGCCTCAACACTCGTCACTTGCACCGCGCCTCACAGGCTGCCTTGAAAAAGTGTAAGTTGCTGCACATTTGTCCAGGTGTGTTCTTCTCAGTCGACTGGGAGGCAGGGAGGGAGGTGGCAGCGGCACGTGTCCTCGATGGGCAATAACTGACTAGGGGGCTGGCACTTGTACCGCGCATTGAAGTCTGCACTGAATAAGTGTGGGTGTCCCGGTGTATTCAGAGTCAACTCATGATGCAACAGCAGAGTGGTGGGGGCACTCTCACCACGCATCAAGGGCAGCCATGGAGCCTTCCCCCTTGGCACTATGTCTATCTGTGTTGTTTGATCATACTTTGCTGTCTCAATAATAACCGACCTTGCTCTCCCCTTTTCTCTCCAACCCTCGCACGTCCTCCTCCTAGTACCGCCATGGCCCATCTCACCCCACCCCTCTGCACACATAAGCATCCCTTCTCATTCCCACACACGCCCCCGTTCCTTAAACCTTTCAACCACCTCGCTCGCTCCTCCCCTCCCCCCGCTCCTTCTCCAACCCCCCAGGGGTCTGTACAATGCTCATCGAGTTTTGGGCTTTCTCCTTCATACTCTCTCACTTCTTGGTTTCTCCTTTACACTCTCTCACTTCTTCGTAAGCCTTCCCCCCAGTGGTCCGTACTATGTCTATCAAGTTGGCAGCAAAGAAGCAGCCAGTTGCCACCATCCTCCTCCAGCTCCCTTCTCCCCTCTCCACCCCCCTTCTCCCCTCTCCACCGCCCTTCTCCCCTCTCCACCCCCCTTCTCCCCTCTCCACCCCTCTTCTCCCCTCTCCACCGCCCTTCTCCCCTCTCCACCCCCCTTCTCCCCTCTCCACCGCCCTTCTCCCCTCTCCACCCCCCTTTACCCCTCTCCACCACCCTTCTCCCCTCTCCACCCCCCTTCTCCCCTCTCCACCCCCCTTCTCCCCTCTCCACCCCCCTTCTCCCCTCTCCCCTCTCCTCTCCCCCAGTGGTCCGCACTATGTCTATCGAGTTGGCAGCAAAGAAGCAGCCAGTTGCCACCATCCTCCTCCAGCCCCCTTCTCCCCTCTCCACCTCCCCTCTCCCCTCTCCACCTTACCCACCCTCTCCTCTCCCCTCCCCCAGTGGTCCGCACAATGTCGATAGAATTGGCAGCAAAGAAACAGCCAGTTTCTGCCATCCTTCTCCACCCAGGAACAGTGGACACAGATATGTCCAAGCCCTTCCAGAGGGCTGTGCCGCCCGGAAAGCTCTTCACGCGAGAGTTTGCCGCCCAGAAGCTGCTGGGGATCATAGACAGGGTCAGTGCAGGCGATAATGGAAAGTTTTTTGCATGGGATGGGCAGGAAATTTCTTGGTAGAGTTTCGAACTACGATTTCGTTTCTGCCCATATCAGATCGCATAAGATTCCACAACTAGAGCCCCGTGTTGCCAGCAAGCGACTCTACTATGTCAATATAAACAAGTGTTTGTAGGTAGTGTGGGGTTGCCTTGCTAGTATGGTAATCTCTCAAGTCTAAATACTGGTAACCACTAATGTGAGTGCACTACTGGCCATATCAGGAGACGTGTCTATGAAGAGCTCGAAACGAGTCACTCACAGTCGTACCGGCTTGGTACCTGGTGGTCAATATGGCCAATGTTCGGGGGTAAGCCTGGAGGCGCCATCAGTGCAGAAAGAATTGTTCGCAGACAATGATCTGAGTCGATGACCCAAGAAGCAGTAGCGTCACACACGCACGTGATGGTTTGTGTGGCAAATGTTGGGGGTTGTGCAGGAGCAATCAATGCAGAAAGATTTTCTCGCAAGAGGAGAGGCCAGCAATTAAGTTTAATTAGGATGGGTATGCGAGTGTGAAATATCAACACCATCTAGATACCTTCAACCACCGTAACGCAAGTACGGTACTGTGATATATAAGTTTAACCAAGCCAACTTATCACAAAGCTTCTCATAGCAAAGCCTAGCGCTTGCAATCACATTGTACTATATCCGACTCACCTCACCCATGGGCACCAGGCATACGCATGGCACATGGGTCATCCGTCTAAGGAATGCTGTGCAGACCATCCAGCACCCTGCCCTGCTCATGTTGTCATCTGTAACTCTGCTGATGTCATCTGGCACCTTACTGATGTCACCTCGTACTAGATGCAAGGCATCCAAGCATAAACTGGCAAAGGGATTAGGATTAGACTGCTCCATGACACAGCTATTTCTGCTCACCATGGTTCTCGCACTGTCAGAGCTACTGCTGCTGCTGCTGATGCTCAAGATGCTGCTGTTGTGCGGGCCAATAGTGTCCACATGTCTCGTCTGATCAATCCTGCTGCTGTTGTTATGATGCCGTTGTTACCGCTGCACTGGTTGCACAAACCAGGGCGGTCGCTGTTAGTGCAGCTACAGTGAATTGATGTCGAAGTAAGGGCAAGCACGGCTACTGTTAATGCAAGCGCTGCTGCTGTTGTCGATACTGCTAATAGGGGGTACAGAAAACAGAAGACACTGTTCTATGTTGAGTCCTTCTGTATAGTCTCGGGTGCCAGTGTTGCAGCCATTGCTAATGCTGTCAAGCACGCTAACAGAGGCTACAGACAACAGGCCGCACTGTTCTGTGTTGAGCCCTACTGTATACTCTCGGCTGCCAATGATGCAGCCATGGTCCGCGGTAAAAACTGTTCCCTTAGCAGAATGAGTTGTAATGTCAGGAATGAGAGGGGATACAGTTACGTCTGCAACTTCTGGAGTGAGAGGAGTCATATCAGTATATTGAGTTGTCTCATCAGTAATAGGAGTCAAATCAGAAAAATGAGTTGTAGCACCAGTAGTAGGAGTCACATCAGTGAAATGAGGAGTCACATCAGTAAAATGAGCTGTAATGTCAGGAGTAGGAGTCATATCAGTAAACTGAGTTGTGATGTCTAGAGTAGGAGTCACATCAGTAAAAAAGGTTGCGATGTCCGCTGTGTGAATGCTTACACCTGCGCTCATCTGTGGTGGTAGCTGCTCGGTACAAAATAGAGATGTGGAGGCCTGCTGCTGTAACTGCTGCTGGAAGTACTGCTGTTGGTTTTGCTGTTGGTGCTGCTGCTTTAGCTGGTGCTGTTGATGGTGGTTGTGCTGTTGATGCTGCAGCAGTTGATGGTAGTGGTGCTGTTGGTGCTGCTGCTGTTGTTGCTGGTGCTGTTGCTGCGGCTGTTGCTGTTGGTGTTCCTGCTGTTGCTGATGCTGTTGGTGTTCCTGCTGTTGCTGCTGCTGTTGGTATTCCTGCTGTCGCTGCTGCTGTTGGTGTTCCTGCTGTTGCTGCTGCTGTTGGTGTTGCTGCTGCTGTTGGTGTTGCTGCTGGTGTTGTTGTTGTTGTTGCTGCTGCTGCTGCTGCTGCTGCTGCTGCTGCTGCTGCTGCTGCTGCTGCTGCTGCTGCTGCTGCTGCTGCTGCTGCTGCTGCTGCTGCTGCTGCTGCTGCTGCTGCTGCTGCTGCTGCTGTTGCTGCTGTTGCTGCTCCTGTTGGTTCTGCTGTTGTTGCTGTTGCAGTTGTTGTTGTTGTTGTTGTTGTTGTTGTTGTTGTTGTTGTTGTTGTTGTTGTTGTTGTTGTTGTTGTTGTTGTTGTTGTTGTTGTTGTTGTTGTTGTTGCTGTTGTTGTTGTTGTTGTTGTTGTTGTTGTTGTTGTTGTTGTTGTTGTTGTTGTTGTTGTTGTTGTTGTTGTTGTTGTTGTTGTTGTTGTTTGTGATGCTGTTTCTGTTGCTGCTGATAATGGTGATGTCTGGCGATTGCAAGGGAGGGAGAGGACGAAGAAAAGATGGGCGAGTAGTGGAGAAACGGGTGGGCGGAGGAGGGAGAGGAGTGGGGTGATGGAGCGAGGGGAAGGTGAGAGAGTCTGACGTGAGAGGAGTATGGAAGACAGGAGGATGGGGGTTATTATAGACAGCTGTAGCAGGAGCAGGAGGCACTGCAGCAGGAAAAAGAGGCACTGAAGCAGAAGCAGTAGCAGAAACAGGATTCACTGTAGCAGGAGCAGGAGCTGTATCGGGAGCGAGGGGCACTGTAGCAGAAGCAAGAGGCACCGTGGCAGGCACATTAAACGTAGCCGCGGGTGATTCAAGCAGTTGTAGCGGTGGCCTCAACTGGAAACATAGAGCTTGGCCTGCGGTTGCAGTGGTTACTTGTCCAAGTATCGTGGGAGAAGGTGAGGCAAAATAATGGGCTGGTTGCGGGAGATGTGTGGACAGGGAGGGCGGCGATGGAGTCTGGGTTGCTCTGAGAGCTGTCTGCTGCTCAGCTGCTGTCCTAATGGCAGGGAGGCTGCTAGTATCAAGAGCGGAGGCTGTGGCAGAGGTGAAGGCTGTAGCAGAAGTAGAATCTATAGCAGAGGTGAAAGTTGTTACAGGGGAAACGGCTGAGCCCGAAGCTAAGGTCGTGGCAGAAGAAAAGGTTGTAGCGGGAGTGAAGTTAGTCGCAGGGGGAACTGTCGCAGTAGAGGCAACGGTTATAGCGGCAGAAGTGGGGTCTGCTCGCGTGGGAAGGCAGCTGACGGCCGGATGCCCTGCAACATGCACCTTGGGAGCTGCTGGCGCGGGCGGCGGGTGATTGTGTGAACCAAAATATGCCACCCGCACCACCACACGCATCTCTGTCCTGTCCGAAGCCGTGTCGTTTTCTTCTGCCCGTCCTGCTACAGCCCCTCTACTTCTAGCAGCCACTTTGGTTGTACCTGCAGAGTTGCAAGCTGCTGTAGCACTGGCTGTAGCACTGGCTGCAGCCTTTGAGACAGCTGCAGCTTTCGAGATGGCGCCTTTTAGCCTGGGGCGGCGAGGGTGATGAGCCTCGCCGGCCACTCGATCCTCAACTTTCTTTGCCGGGCAGGCCGTGACGTGCTTGGATGAGCAAACAAAGTAAAGCAAGCAAGAAGGAAGGAGAAACGAGGTGCAGATTACATCATTTGGGGACTGAGACAATGAACAGCCTGCATGCTCGATGAGAAGGGAAACAGTGACCAGAGTCAAAGAGTGCCGACCAGAGTCTAATGTTGCCAACCAGAGTCGTTTAGTGCCGACCATAGTCGACAAGTGCCGAACGGAACGGACCCAACCCACGCAGACCAGAGCCGAGAAGTGCCGACCACCGGAGACCAGTGCCAAGCAGAACCTAGCCGAGCCGAGCCGAGCTGAGCCTTCACACTCCCCCGTTTTGTCGTTTCTCCTTCACACTCTATCACCTCCCCTTTGTTGGGAATAACAATTCTTAAGCGCCTCTGTCATGTCGAAACTCCGGACACAAGCGAAGCAGCTCAAATTGGAGCGCAACGAGTCAACCCTCGGAGGTTAGGGTAACCGCTGGAGGTTACGCGAAGGTCAAAGGTCGCTGACCTTTGACTTGACAAATACAGCGCGACAGCAAGGACACACAACTGACTCGACATTGAGCAGTTGCCCGAGTCGCACTGTATCGAATCGCAAGAGCAAGAACAGTTTAATTATATCTATTTGTATTCCTTGTACTCATGTATAAGGCTTTGTATTTGCTTGTTTTATATCAACTTACTTTGCCCTCACATACCAGCGCAAGGTGGTTCAAGGACCTTTCATTCAACGCTTCCGCTATTACAATCCTACTCAGACTTTAACTCTACAAAGATCCTAGGGCACTTCAGCCCAACATGGTATGAGAGCAGTTAGAGTTTAAAGGTTATTTTTTCCTTTAACACTCAATACAAGAAGACATGTCTACTAGGAAGGAGAGGAGCTCCTCCAACGGTTCTCCAGGCACTACTCCTACCCCACCTCCTGCCTCTGGTCTACAGATAGAGGAAGGGACTACCACAAGACCAGCAGCTGGGTCTACGGAAACACCCGCGGGCTTCGATCCAAGCATGATGGAGAAGTTCTTCTCCTTCATGTCCTTCTACGAGCAGCACCAGCAAGGAGTACTTGCGCAGTCAAACAACAGCAACAACAACAACGTGACTCCTATGAGTCTCGACGGCTCATCCTACGCACGCGGAATTCAACAACAACAACAGCAGCCTACCTTCGCGCCGTACGAGCCCTAGCGTGGCTCCGTCAGCTTCATGCCGCAACCGCAATCTGCACCGGGACAAGAAAGGGCATTGGACGCATTACAAGTTCAATCGCAATTCGCGCATGTTCTAAAGCTGCAAACGACAAAGCCTTTCGACGGAAAAGACTTCTTCACCTGGTCGTTCGAGTTCGAACTGATGATGGAAGGAGCACGGATTCTTGGCTTCTTCGACGGGTCCCTGCCATATCCAACAAACGGGATGCAATATGAGAAGCAGCAGTACACCTATCAATCAATGATGGCGTACACGATACTGCTAAGAAACATCACCCCGACCCAACAGC